TTTAAAAAAAAAAAAAAAAAACCGCAGAATGCAATCAAACTAGTAGTGCTTATTTTCTTTTCACATATTTCAGTGAATTTTTCTAATCATCTGAAGAAAAGCTAGTTTCTACGCTATACAGTCTAAAAAATGTACCATTAATTTGTTTGCTTTTGCACGTTGAGAACAATTTTAAAAGAAAAATAATGAATGATGATGCAAAAATATGTCAAAATAAACAAGTTTTGTATCAAAACTTCTGAATAATCAATCTGATCACAAAAATAAACATATAAAATCAAAGTGACATAATTTTGAGCGTACATTTATTAATTTAGTTGAAATAAAATTTAAGATTAGCTATTCAAAGAGAAGAAAAAACTGAAAAGAATTAAGTACAAAAGTATTGAATTAAAAGAAAGAAATAGGAAATGTATGTATAAGAAGAACTGAAATTATTTCATCTATTAAATTTTAAAGAAAAGAAAATTAACGACTTCTATAAAGCCGATTACTGATTTCGTACTAGTATTACCAATGATCGCATCAGAAAACAATCAAAAATCTAACGTCGTTTGTAAGAATAAAAAAATTTTAAGTGATCTTTTTTTTTTAAACTGATCACTTAACTTAATTAAACAATAAACTGTACAAAAATGACTCTAAATTATTTATTTTGATTTCTTTTTCTAAATGACAATTCTGAAAGAAAGTTTACACTTTCAAATATCTAAAAAGTTTTCTGAAGAAGGACAAAATAATAAGATGGAATGCTTAGTGATTATTTAGATTCTACGTTAATTACTTCATACAGAAAATAATTATTCTAAGTTTTCTTCACTCATCTATATTAATTATTAATCATTTAGCTCGTACTAATTGCAACATTTTTTTTAAACATTTTGATCAAGCTGATATCAATCATGCATCATATGTTTGATAGTAATAAGATTAATTTATATCACGAAATCTGAACAAATACTTTTTAATACTTCCTAATTATTACTCAACTTAATCGCACAATTAATAATTTTATGTTTAACTTCCTCAACTGCTGAACTTTCCTTTCATAAGATATAAATAAAGAAAGCTTAATCCATACGTACATATACATCTGACATAATTTTCAAGCGTGATAAGGTTTTTAAAATTAAAACTTGTTACTGTCATCTATATCATCTCTAAACGTATTTCAAGGATATTTCTGAACCTGACAGAAATACGAGAAGAATTAAAAATTCTTGTCTGCATATTATTTTGTCCAAGGACAAATAGTGACACTTTTGATCACAGTGATCATCACTTTGAAACATAATCCACAATTCTTCGAAATATTCTTAAAATTATATCAAATCAAATTCTTAACGCAAACTACTAATTCTCATTGCATCCGCATGAACTTGACATTTCGCAAAATGAGCACAACAAATAAGTAGTTTTGCGCGAAATTGCTATTTTACAACGAATCTCTCAATCATTTCAGCATATTAATATGCGAGTTAATGCGCTAATTATTGTTTCCGTTAATGTCTTTTGCGGCAAGCGCCTTGCTGCATCGTTACTATGCGATTTTTTGATTACATCCTCATAAACTCCAAATTGCGCGCTTTTTGCAAAAAATAATTTTACTTGCAAAAATTTCATCAAAAAGTAGCAACAGCAAACAATTTATAAGCAAAGATTTTATATAATCTCAACTCTGTTTAAAAAGCAGCTAAAAATAAGTCTAGCTAGTAGTCAACGAAAAATGTAATAATATGTTGTACAATAAATCAAGTCCAAACAGTATACGATAGTGATTACTGTCAACGCTTAATTACAACTTAATTACAGTTGAAACAGTTATAGATTTCGTACTTTCAGATTATTGCTTTTAGAACAAAAAAATGCAATAAAAGCAAACAATAATTGAGATTAAAAAGTGATAACAAAAATCGAAACATATGTTGAAGAAAAGTTTTTGGCAGCGAAAAGTATGAAAGATTATGAATGTGTGTGCAAGTGATAAAGTCTTCATAAACAAGCTTCGTTTTTTGTGCAAACTTTATTATAGAATTGTTTTTTAAACCTTTTACATCATTTCAACGTGATTAATGGCTTAGGCTTAGATAAGATTAAGACGAACTATCCAAGCTGTATTTTCTACCCTTTCCTTAACACAAAACTCTTCACTTCTCAAGTCAAAAATACGTATAAAATGAATAAAACTGAATGATCTCTCCACATAATACAATACTTATTTTCTGCTCATCTTAGAAATTGGGTATCGAATTCTCTTCTGTATAATATGTTCAAGAAATATTTTTAATTCTTAGACTCTGATTTAATATTTTTTTAATTTTTAATTCTTTTTATATCTTAATTTCTTTCATATTTTCAATTCTCAGACTGAATATCGAATTCTCATTGTTGCTTACACTAATAAAAATTAAAATGTCTTTTTAATATTCTAATATATAATTATAATGTCACTTTAATCTTTATTAATGTAAGGAACAATGCTATAAAATTCTTTCTTGCATTAATAATATTTTTAATTCTACTTTAGAAATAAATTTATGAAGTGAAAGAACTTTTGAAAAAGCAATGATTTTTTATGCTTCACTTATTTTTTTTAAATAATTTTCAAAAAATTAATTACAAAAATGACATTTTAAAGTGGGAGCACAAAGATGACGCACGTGGTTTGCTTTCTTTTTCTTTCTTGAGTTTAAACTTTAAATTGAAACTTGGGTATTTTTTAATTTTATTAAATTTAAACTATTCCCTCACTCACTTTATTATGTGAACAAAAAATATTAGTTGAGCATTAATCTTTGAATGCTTTTACTAACAATTTTATTATATTTAAAAAAGCTTTTCTTTGAAGCTAGAATTTCAAAAAACTAGGACTATTTTTAACAAGAGAGTAAGTTGATTCTTTTCTAAACTTTACTTCACAATTAGTCTAGAATTTTAGAAAAATATTTCATACTATCTCCAATTTGTTAAGTATGATCAAAGTTTAATGACTGAGCAAATTTGAAACATACTTTTTGTTCATTTTCAATACTTTTCTGAATATCCGCATGAACCTTTACAAGCTGATCAGCCTGATCACTATTCAGTGTTAACAGAGGAGCATTATGAATCGATTCTTCCATTTTATCCAACCATTCCCTTAAATACAACTCAACAATTTTTATTTTAAATTAAGCAAAGGCAAAATTTTAGGGTCATTATGAGGTCACTGCCTTAAATAGTAAATGCATTATTGCTATTAATTGGTAAATGTGCTGCAAAGATTTCAGCATATTAAAAATGATACAGTATTAATCGAATTCAAAAAATTAGGAATAAATACCTAATCGATTCAAGCTGTTTAACTTGTAGTGAATTTAAACAATGTTGAAGCTCATTCTGGCGCGTCATAGCAACTTCCCTGACACGTTCCCAACGTGAATTTACCATTAAAAGTTGCGATACAATTGTTGTTGCTTGTTCTTCCTCCAGTTTTTGCACTAACGTCTGACCTCTGAGAGCAAGTACAATAGATAATTGCTCTAGATTAATAAAAAATGATAAACAAAATTTGCATATCATTTTGAATTCTTATATAACATTTCGATTTTGATTTCCTGCAGAAAATAGCAGCAATAAGCACCTGTGAAGTACACGTCCTACGCTATCTTGACTTTCGGTCAACGACTGCATGAACGATTCGTGTTCTTTGAACTGCTTTTTCACCTGCTCTACCTTCAATATTATTTGTGAGTACTAAACTTTCCAACTAATTATCATTTCATGAATATCCAATTTTCAAGTTTAACATTTTTATAGCAAAATTGGCGGGAAATAGAAAAAATGAAAAAAAAAAACCTATGTTATATCTATCATTTTCATTAATTTCTTCATTGAGTTAAAATGATTAAGAACTAAACCGAACCAAGAAGTCAGTTTTACGTGAACTTACATCATTCTTTTCAATGGGTTCCATGCAGTTCGCTTGTTCTTCCGCTTCTAGCAACCAAGATAATACATGTTCTAAACATTCTTCAAATTCTGCAATAGTCTCTTCCATTGCTTTGCTTCGTCGTCTACTTGACTTTTGTGTTGAAGTGGATGACTTACGTGACGGAGTTTCAGTACTCTCCAAAAAATATACTATCTACACGTAAACTATCATATTGCGTTTTAAATAATCACTATTTAATTAGCTTTACTTTAATATTCTGGTATATGCGTAATGAAGAGTAGTGAAAAGCTGGAAATGTTTAATTTTTACTTTTGACGTTTCTTATCATTTCAGTAAAGCATAAAAGTTTATTATATTAATTTAATGATAATGATAACAATTTATGAACAAAATATTCCTAGTTCAGTACTGTTTAAAGAAAACTGCTTTAGTACTTAAATGCAGTCAAGAGAAAATGCTGAAAGCAAAATAATTTAGGATAATTATTGGTAAAAAAGTTGCTACTATGTTTATTACTTTCGAAAAATAATTGAAGATTTTGACACAAAGCCCTTGAATTCAAAATACTTTCAATTCAACAAATTTAAATTATTAAAGTATCTTTTTTATTAAAAATGTATTTAAATTATTAAAGTATCTTTTTTATTAAAAACGCGAAACGTGAAATATATGCTTAGTATTTTATCTGAAACAAAGTAATGCCAAATAATATTTTCACTGAAATTTGTGGAAGACTGCCTGTCATTTTTATGAGCTAGTAGTATAATAAATTAGTATAATGAATTACAACTAAAATGGAGTATTTCTGCAGAAATAATTCACATATTTTAGATGTAAAATATAGCAGAATTATAGTCTATGCTTTGAACACAAAAAAATAGAATTTTAGCATACCTAAATTGGAACTTATCTTATGCAAGAAAAAGCAATAAAATTCTTTCACACACTGGCAGCAAAGTGGATTGCCTTGCTTCCATGATACGAACTCTTAGGTGTATTTCCATAAAAATTCATAACTTGACAAAAAAGTAAATTCACTAACTTCCAAATGAGGCAGAGAATGCCTCCTAGCTGTTCCAACTGAAGGCGACCGCATAACAGCCTCTTCAGGACTTGCATGTTTCGGATATTCCAATTTAGCATAGGAAGTTTCTAAGAGTGGAATCAGTAAATCAGCTGTCATTTCGTGATCACTCTTAACAGCAACATTCTGACTAGTTGGTTTCTGAGGTCTTGACGTTGAACGGTTTGTAGAATGTTCCAAAGGTTCTGGAGAATGAAGTCGGGGTTGAAGCTGCGTCTGAGAATGAAGCTCAGGTTGAAGCTTAGGTAATACAGCTTGCCTTGTTAATGACAGATAGAGTACCATTAAGTAGCATATAACACTTTTTGAATCAAGATGTTCACTGTGAAATTCTGAAAATTGACCAAGTTTCTTCTAATTTAGCTCAATTCAAAAGTTTAAGATCCTTTCAATGCAAATTTATGGATGAATCACAGAGTACTGGCAATAGCAGAGCAGTGATAAATTTCATGCACACATTTTAGGTGAAAATGAAGACTTAAGATAGATTAGTTAATTCAAATCTCAAAATAGTGAAAGTAACAAACCTTTGGGATGTAAAAGACGTGGAACATTGAGATGACGCTCCGCTAGACCCATCGCGTGTTCTATTCGTTCTTCTGCTCGCATGTCTCGTATTTCATCCATATCAAATAGTTCGGAACTAATAACACACAAGAATTTTTTTTTACATCAACATCAAAATAAACGTGGATGTAATCACCCTTATTTTTCTTCACATACCTTTCAATATTTACTTGTCTTTTCACCTTTGATAAAATGACACGATTTTAATTTTTATGATTTTTTGAGACTACAAGGAATCTTGTAGTTTTTTCTTTTAATAATTTCTAAGTGAAACTGCGTCTTACTGAATTATTCACAGCAATTCTTTTGCAAAATTTGACATTTACAATAAATACATGACATAATTTGTGTTTGATTACAGCAGAAAGTTTACTTGTAAGATAATAAAATAGCGTTTAGAGCGTAACCATCTCGCCATGATGAGATAAAATCATTAATAAGTACTTCTAAACGCTGAGCTCGCTCAAAGCACCAATTTTTAAGCCCTTCGGTTAATTTCTGATCTCGAATTTCAGCTGGTGCAAACCTAAAACTTCTGGTAACCTTGAAATTACTAAAGTTTTGCTCCAAAATAAAACTTTTTTTGTAATAAAGCACAATACTTGGTAATGAAAGTGCACAATACTCTTGAAACTTTTCCTACTTGCTGATTCAAAATTTATATATTAGATTCTTAAAGGCTACAAAACCATGAAAGGATTTCAAGGATTTTTTGTAACAAATTTGAAATATCATAAAGAGATTAGTGAAATATCTGAGGTAAAATTAAATCAAACATAAAATTATTTCGACCCTTAATATTTGCTGTGAGAATTACAAACCTTAATATGGAAAGCAGATCCATTTTTCATTTAATTAACAAAATATGATGATGAGAAAAAATGGAACGAATTGACTAAATAATACATTTTGCTAAAGCAAAAACTACAGTATAAACTTAATACACCATTTCAGAAATAAGAATTCATAACTAAAGTATGCTGTTCATTTTTTAAACAATTATTTCAATTGAAATTAAATTATCAAACTGATTGAAATCAAACCTTCTCCAAAAAATTTGCATAAGTTGCCAAATAAGAGAGCAAATAGTCCGTGCATTTCCGTCAATAAGTTCGTTGATATTTACCTGATTTATTCGTTCATCACCATCAATAAGTCTAAGAGTGTTCAAGATGTCTTGTGCTCGAGAGCCCGAACTAGTCTAGAAATCATAACTTTGTATTCAATATTAAATTAAACCAATGACATGTCAATCTTTGCTTAATGAATAATTTCAATAATCTTAATTTCACTTTTAAATTTAGTACAAGAAATTGTAGTTTAAACTATATAAGAGCTTAGAACTGATCAGCATGAAGAAAAAAATCAAACGCTAATATATGTTAAGTATGCGTGTAAAATATATATATATATATTATATGGACCAATTTTTTGTACTTTTCAGTCTTTTTGTTCCCAGAATTTTAAAACAATACTTGTAATAGCATTTTAATTATGGATATTAGTTTTATATTATACAAGTATCTAAGTAATTACAAGTGTTTCGCCGACGATAAGTTTCGCGAAAAGGAAAAGAAATTTTGGATCAACAACATCTGACAAATCTTTCACCGTTCCAGGTGAAAAAGAATCAGCCCAGCGCAAGAAGACAGCTTCTTGAATTTCGTAGCGGTCATCTAAAACTTTTGAAAGTCTCATATTCATAAAGAATTGGACAAACACCAAATAAGTTTGCTAAATACTTACAATTCTAGCATAAAAGTTGAAACTGAATTTTTTGATTTGTTGAAGTTATGTTTTGTTCTGAAGAATTAAAAAATAATTTTTAAATTAAGTTGCGTGAATTTAAAATAATAATTTTTTTTATATATTGGTTTTTTTAATATATTGGTTCAAATAATTATGTATATTAATGTGCTGAATAAATAAACAATAGAAGCAAAAATAATTGTCTGTGTAAAAGATAAAGTTCAGTGTCTCTGTGATCAAGCTTCTACTTTTTCAGATCAATTATAGATGTATTTCAAGTGTTTGTAAGAATATGAATAGAATAAAATGTATTATGGGCATTTAAAATTGTTTTGTGTTAAATACAAAAAAAATAACTCAAAGTTAAAATATGGTTTGGCCATTGTAGAAGTTACAATATAATAGGTAAGTTACAATAATAATTTAGCACAAAACAATTTTTAGCAAGAACAGAGGCAAGATCTGTTCCTTAAAGTTCAAACGACTGAAAGAATGTTATAATATTCTTGAAGAATAGATAATTTTTTAGGATTCCTCATAAGGCAGCTTTCAAAATATTCGATAATAATGATTAATACTGACTAATATTATTATAAGGTGAGATGACTAAAAAAACTGTGCTTATAAAACTACTGTCATTATCCTTTACAGTACTCCCAATGCCATTATCACTAGCTAAGCAGTAATTACTCCTGTAAATAACTGCCACACCATACTAATTAATTATGTGCTAAGTAGTACACTAAAATTAATGTTACATGTGAAGAGATAAATGTTTTTTAGATAACAAATTGTAGACGAAGTGAATTCACTGAATATGTTGTCCACAAAACAATTTGGTCTGTGCCAAGTTTGAAAATCTAAATTCTTTATTATTATTCAAAAATCGAAAAGGTTATGCTTTCATAGCATGCTTGAGAATATTTCTAAAACTGATATTCTGTAATCTCATCGAGTGGCGAACTTCTGTCATGTTTGGTATTATACAAAAATATGTGACATAACTGTACAAAGAAAGTTATGCACCGAACTGAATGCTTGCTCACTCCCTCACTCAATCATTTGTTGCGGAATGAAGATGAGAATATGAAGCGACTGAGTGAATGAGTGCCTGGCATTTGTTCAGCGCACACTCTGAACGATTCTTCAGAAGCATAGTTTTATATTTTGAATTCATTTAAATTCCTTTTCTACTCCATGACAAGAACAAAAAAAACGTTGATCACTAGTCACAAATTGGTAATCAATGATCAGTGGCTTGTTTCTTCTAATGATAAATCTATATGTGTACATTTTACCAATTAAAATATTCATGATTCTTTTACAACACTTTTTGATACAAATATGTATTGATTTGATTTCGATTTTTTGCATATACAGATCTTCTGTACTGTCCGTCGATTAATGTGCATTCAAATAGTATTTGTAATAGTTACTAACTGACTCACTAACTGATTGATTGATCGATTGATTGAAGCAATCAATAACTAATATAATAAATTTATGGGAGCAGTAGTTTATAAGATGCATAATAATAATCGAATGAAGATGTGAATTTTACTTTAACATTACAATTTTTTACTTTTTTTTTCTGATAGGAAATTCAAACAAAAGAATAAATGATGTAAGAGAATGTAATAATGAGTGAATGACTGAGTGGGTGAGTGAGTGAGTGAGTGAGTGAATGAGTGAATGAGTGAGTGAGTAAGTGAGTGAGTAAGTGAGTGAGTGAGTGAGTGAGCAGGGCAGTACAGAAGGAATAGGTCATGACATGAATGAGTGAGCGAGACAGTACAGAAGCAGTAGGTCATGACACGAAATTCAGTGCAGATAGTTCAAGAGATCAGTTGCTTGTAAGGATAATATTTAGTAGATAAAAAAGCAAATAACTTGACTGAAATACCTTTCTCGAGTTTTTTCTCTTTCTTCTCGTCCTTTTTGACCTTAGCTGCCGAGGATCCACCGGAAAATAGCATACTTCTTATTTCGCTCCTTTTTTTGCAACTTTATTTCGTAGTAAGAATAAGAGGGTGCACTTATATGTATGTCTTGTGTGTATGCGTGCACCACCTGTTCAGAGAGACACACATTTGAATGTGATGTACAGAAGGAGAAAATGACCGCAATACTTTTTGGTAGCAATGTGAAGATGTTAAAAAGAGGCAAGAAGCAGTAGCATTGCAATTCCTGTCGAGGAGAGGTAGAAGAGCTTAAGCTCCAACTATCAAATCTTCCTATACTCTTACTCAGTTTAAGATCATCTACTCTTGTTTACCTTCAACTACCTTAACATTAACCTCTCTATCCTATCCTATCCTATCTTATCCTTTTCTATTCTATTCTATTCTATTCTATGCCATCTTTACCAATTAATTCTATACATATAGATAGATGGATGAATATGCTCAAGTATTGAGGAGATAAATAAATGTTAATTGAAAATTTACACTATACAAATGATATTAAACACATTATACTACTAGCACATGTATATTACATATCTACTTACTTACCTATCTAGTTATCAGCTGTTACTTTGTAATATTTTTAGTTACTTCATTTGCAATACCAGTATTCAAAGAAGGAAGAAAACTTAAGCAAAATAAATTTGCTGCTACTTTTACTACTTTTTTTATTCCATCTTTGCTTTCATGAATATTACAAATTTTTGCATTTAAATACGCGATCGCAATAGCTAAAAAGTACTACGAAAAACCTCTAAAAACCAATGGTTAACTTTTGAACTCTTTTTTCATAAAGTAAACTTTAAAACTATTGCAGCAATTACTTCATTTTTATTTCTGTAGACAAATTCGCAGCAAAGTTCTTGTCTTGCCCTCTGCCCCTTGTCTACTAGAAATAGTGCATAAATGATGAATGGCATTTTTTTTTATGTTACCATTACTTTTTTTTAATATGAATCGCCTTTTCCCATGTACTTCAATGAAATAAATACCTTTACCTTTTATTTGTTTTGAATAAATCTGCACATGCTCAAATAATTTAGGCGAATTCAAATACTTTTGTGTGTCTTGAACAGAATATTACAAATTAAAGCTTAGAGTCTCAATACAATGACCTTCAAATATTCATTTCTTAACGCTGATAAAAGCGATGAAGAACAGGTAGATAACTATGTCAAGAATAATTAATTATCTTACTTTACAGTAGTGCGTTACCGTTTTAAATGATGTTTAGTGTAATATACATCTAAGTAGATCATCTAAACATTTCTAAGGAAATAAGACTGCTAAAATACTAACAGTTCATTTCTATGCAAATATGTCCCATTAACATTTCTTACTTCAGTGAATGCTATACTGTTAATATAAATTAACAAATAACAAAAAAGACTTGCAAACGATAAAATTGTGGCTGTAAAGAATAACAATTTCGCATTGTTCAAATTTTTTTCTTGCGTAAAGAATAATTAGTGTAATGAGATGGTAGCTGGCTAAGTTTGCTTAAGCAAAACTGCAAATGAAATAAATCACAGGTATTAGCGTGAAGAAGAAGCAGAGCACAATATTCATTAATGCTCATTCGCCGTACACTTTCACATTTTTTCTCATATAATAAAAGCTATTTAACCATAACTAAAATAAGTAATTTTATTGATTGAATAGTTTAATTTATGGGTACAATTCAACTTCAAATTAGAGTTAGATCTATGCTTACAGAATAATTTTAAAACTTACACATTAAATGGACTTGTATTAAAGAAATCTCCAACTAAAACAAATTATGTATGTAATATGGTATTAAAACAGAAGTTGTTTTAATTTATAGAGATATGAAGTAAAAGAAACTGTATTATAAAACAACAGATGTATTACATTCTAGTAGTGGAATAATAAACATGAATACAAAACTACTTAAAATGAAAACACTGTCGAAGAATCGGAAAAGGTTTTGCAATTCGAAAGTTTCAGTTAATGTCTTTATTAAGCATTTCATACACACTAAATTAAATATAAACTTTAGTACCTTGTTTACATAATTGCAATTTGGCATTCACTAAAGGCACGTAATCTGAATGTACAAATGTGTTCTATGCGCAATGCAAGTGGCACAATTTGATAAAATTTCACTGGGGTGCATAAACTTATATGACACTGATCAAGAAAAAACTGAACTAAATTTTTTCCTAAATTACTCCTACATTAATCTCATTGCTCTGTTCAGTGCGTCACTTATCTAGTTTCAAATGGAAACATTCTCAAATTTGTTCCTCAAAAGAATTGCTTTTAAAATAAGATGCAAAAGGTAACAAGTGAGCAGTGGAAGAACCAAAACATAAGTATAAATATAAATGGAAAGGAAATCAATTTAGAATAGAATGATGTAACCATCCAAACATTAATCAACGAAACAATTTTAAGAGAGAAATTAATAACTTAGCAAACTACAACTGCTACCACTGTAACCAAGATGTAAAATATTCACAATTCTGAGGAGATATTATATGACCTGGCTTGCAATCAGCCGCAACAGGACAATGAATGCAAGGACAAAAGGCAACAGAACATCGAGTGATATTTGGTACTAAAGCACGATACATACCGTCTGCACGCCGTTCAATCGAACCATCCAATAATGCTAGTGATAAAATTTTTTCTATGTCTTGTATAGTTAATTGTACTCGACAAACGCCTTTACTACGAATAAACTGCGTTATGTCGGTAGAACGAACGTAAGAAAACTCTCGAGCAGCTACTGGATCGTTTTGGTGATTTTCTTCCGACGATTTTCGCTTACTCTAAAAACAAACGATTACGTTATTATTGCTAATTACCATAAAATAGATGATTTAAATTAGTAATAGTTTTATGCTTTCAGCTTTTACTGGCCAACTATTTTATATTGAACGTGCAAAAAGAAAATGTGTTAAAACGAAAAAAATGAAACAATCCCATACAACACATAGCATAATTCCAAAGTTTAACATACAGCACAAATCCAATCTGACAATTCATATTTTCATGATGCCAACGAAATGAAAAATGTGTAAACATAAAAAATCTGATGATATTAATAATTCAATTCGGAAAACGAGCTCAAAATTCACAATAATCCAAATAATTTCTTATTTTAGTTACTTCGAATAATTGTCAACAGCCTTCAAATACATTATTTGAAATAAGCATTTACTCCAATAACAAAAATATACAATAGGAAATTTTAGATTTCATTGCTTACTTATTTTTCTAATTTTTCAAGTATTTTAAAGAAAGATGTGACAACATTAACCTGCAACATTGCAACACAAATATGCGCTATAGTTTCAACAAACTGAGAATCAAGTTGTTGATCAGAATAAAATGTTCCACCTGTTAATGATTCATCTGCTTCAACGCCATACACCATATAGCACTTTTTTGTTGTACCTACTGCCTAAATATAGATACTCATTTCATTAACAGTGATAGTATTCAAAAAAAGTTAAGATTCACACGTTTTGTTGTCCACAGCGTGAAACTGTTTAATTCTTAAGCATGATAAAAATTTAAACAAATGAAGAATAGATCTTTTCCTGGTAGAAAAGTTAGACAAGTAAGTCTAATTATTGTATTAGTAAGTCTGTCAAAATGAAGCGGATATTGAATAACATTCTTTGAGAAATTATAGATTTCATAGATTCAACAAAAAACATGGGTTATTTTCAATTATTTTTGCTAAAAACTAAAAAAAACCTTAATCGATTTGACAAGTTTGCGTTGTTCTAACGCCTTTAAGGCCTTGCGCATTTGCGCTTGTGACAAACCAGTCCGGTCACGAATGTCGCGTATCCAAATACCTTTTTTGCCAGATTCTTCTATCAGTGAATAAATCTACAAAGATAAATGTGTTTATATGCAAAACAAGAATAAAAGTGATCGATAATTTTTTTAAAACAGGAAGAATAAAATTCTAATGTTAAAAATAAAAAAACAGCGATAGCTGCTATTTCAAAAGAATGTAAAAATCAACACATTTACAATCAGTTATAGGCATATGTCAAAATTGGATTCTTTTGTAACTACTTTGAAATAGGTGAAACTAACCAGTTGTTCTTCGTTTGTAGCATCAGCAATTTGTGTACCTTTGCGTAAGCGCAAAATAAACGAGCCTGATATTTGACTTGGCAATATTTCGATCTTTCCAGATGACAGCAAATGGTTAACTGCTTCACCACGTTCTTTCACATCCATTTTTGGAGTTTCATTCAGAAGATCTTCATTACTTATACCATTTTCATTGCATGCCAGAATAGTAAGAATTTCTTCACCCGCTGGGAGGATTTCTTCTTTTACCATGTTGGTAAATCTGCATCAAAATTTCGCCGAACTACAAAAATGTGAACAAAATCCAAATATACTGATATTTTAAAAAACTTCAACTATAATTTAAACTTGCTGTACTAGTAACATCAGTCAGTTACATCTGAAAAAAAGACCACTTTACAGAGGAACTGACAGACCTTATATATGCTTTTGTCCTTCAATTGATGTAACCAACGTCTCTAGTAGTGATTTCTGTAAGGTGTAAATTAATATAACTTCAAACATACTCCATATGATTATCACTATTTATTTCTACCATGAATGCATCCGCATTTTGTGATACATCAGCTAAATTCAGTACCAAGAAGACCGATCAAATGCAGCATTTTTTACTTAAATAACAATAATACTTCTTTATTAACTACCAATATTAAAATAGAAATCACAATGAATCAAACGAAAACCGAGTAATACAGATATAATTTCATATGAAGAAACGACACTTACAAACCATATGTGGACTAATCCACTACTCAAAAAGCAAATGTCAGCTTCGAAAGATACAGCTGCTTAGGTCCGAGCCGGTACAGTATTACAAATGATTGTAATACCACGTAGACTGGACAGTAGATATTAAGCTTATATTAAAAATGACACGCTTTGTGACTAATATAACATTAGAAAGTGAATTGGATTGTGAGTTATTGTAAATTTTACCATGAAAGCACTTACTACTCATCAACATGAAAAACATTCCAAATAGAATGTACTGCTGCAGTTTTCACTAAATACTTCAGCAATTACCATCTCATGAGCTGTTGTAGAATAAATAACTCACAACTTATTAATGAGATTGAACAAAAAAACTACTTAGAATTGTCTTATCATAAAAAGTGAAAGATTTAGATTATGGTAAGCAATTCGAGCAAAAAAAGAGAATACTGCATCTACATAGTGCTACAGCATAGAGAACAGCAGAAATAGAAAATGAACATAACGTGTACCGGTGTTAGTACTGGACACTATTCAGCAGCCTAATATTTCTCCTATATACGGGAAATAGAAGTGAGAATATAATTCATTTCTAACTGAGTGAACACAAATATGCGAAAACTGCATAACAACAGTTAAAGAAGTTTTTAAGCAAAGCAATCAATTACCTTTATTTTCTGAATATCGACAAATCAATTTGTTCAACTAGTAAATCAGTAATTACTAACTCTTTCATAGACATCTGCTGCATACGTTCATTACTGACCGAAAAGCTTTACATATTATTCCAATTCAGTATCATATTTGTGCACAAAATTTTCATGGCACATTTTTGAAATGAAAGTGACAAAGGAGAAAAGGACTAGAGAGAATGTCAATTTGTTTACTGAAACAAAAGATCTCGAAAAAATTAGCTTAAACAAGAAAAATGTTTGCTAAAGACACCACAGTTTGATAGAAAACTATATAGTTATGTGATACAATGTGGAGTAATTTAAATTAAGCAAGCAACAAAAAGCAATAAGGTACAAAAAAGAATGAAAATGAGTTTTAAAAAATCTGTTACCATCTTCCAAAAACCCATAAAACTAGTGTAGCAACATGATGAGAAGCAAAATTAATTCTTTTCCAGAAAATATATGCACAAGCTTTACTGCTATCCGTTGTTTAAAATTTGATACAAAATGTCAATTCTTAAATTGTTGACAGAAGTGCACTTCATACTGCAAAAAACTTTCGTTTACTTAACAGGGAACTAATAAATAAATTACATCTCACAAACGTCACACACTAACAATTCTTTGCAATAAATAAAGGCTCCCTTTCACAAATAAGGCAGTAATTAGCGAATTAACCATAAATTGCTTACATAGATGACATTAATTTTTTTCATTCATAAAGTTAACCTTTCCACAAAATAAATACTTGCAAATGAAAAATGTCTAGTAAATGACTATTAAATTTATACAGCTACTAAAATTCCTCTATTATACAATACCTAATGTATAGTAAGTCAAATCACCCAAAGTACCAGAACATTTGAAAAATAAACTTTAAAAAAGGAAAAAAAAACAAAATCTTCAACTGCGCAAATCTAATGATGACTGCCTATCAATGTGCAACTTTTCGCAAAAGCTACCATGCCCCTGCACTCAAAACAACGCACAAATCAAAATAAAGCTATGTAAGAAAAAATAATGCACTAAAGATAAAATTAGACTACATACAAACATACCCCAATCAGAGAATTAACAATCCTTGCAAACCTAATTACTCAGGCTTCCTAAATAAAATTAAAAAGTCCAGTCTCTGCTGCAAGTTAAATATATACCTTGTTTACTTAAAAGATTAATCCAGAAAAAAACGAATTGTTTCTTGATAAATACTCTATCCCTGGGTTGAGTATGTGATGTTCAACAAGAGAAAGAAGAAAGTGATTTCTACGCAGAACTTAAAATTACCGCAATTTGTATATTCTTCCAAATGAAAAGAAAGCAAACAAGACACAACTGACTGACTGACTGAATGAACTTGTATTACATGATCTTGACAACTGAAAATAATAATTTCCATTTTGCCACCATTCTCCAGTTTTTACAATTTAATTTCATTTTTAGAAATTTCTTTTCCCCTGGTGAAAAGGACAAAACAAATGGGTTTTAGTCGATCAAAAGAAAGTGGGTTTTAGTCAATTAAAATATAATGTACTTTTTTATCATCAAGAGAGTTGTGAATAATCTCCAGTGGACTGGCAAAAAACATGCATCGGATATTACTGAGGTGTTAATAGTAAAATATTGACAGTTAAGCCATCGAAAAGTTAAAATTATATGGAATAACTAACTTTTAACATTGACTCACTTTAAGAGATTACTGTAAACAAACACAAAGACTTCAGTCGAATCACCCTTTCTTGCTTTTAAAAAACGATAATCTATACTGTACAGTTCTTAATCAATTCTCAATGAATAATTTGTAGTGACTAATACACAAGACCTCGAAGAAAAAAGCAGTTATCTAACTGTTTGGTGAAATATCTTAAATTTTTAGTTTCAAAATATCTGAAAATAGTAGCCTTCAAGTAACTAAATATCGCCAAAGTCAATTTTTTGGATATGGATAATATTTTTTATTACATTTTGCTCAGTATTCAATATTATGTACAATACCCTACCATAGACAAAGTCTCCAATACTTGAAGGCACAAGAAAACTCGATTTCAACTTGATGGAGTATCTAACTAAGGCAGCAATTTTTCTACAAAGAATTTTTTTCTATCTGATATGTAGATTCGCAATATTTACTACATATAAGCTGGACCAGCTTCGCTGTCATGACCATCATCTTCATCATCAGTAGAAGAATAATATCGGCCTGCCTCTTCAACAAATTCTCTACCGGCACGTGCGACTCTCTGAATACGTTCTCGAAAGACATCACGCTCTATAAAACTCCAATTGACGAACATTCCTCGCAAAACTTCTATCACTTCTTCCAAGTTTCTATTGACCTGTCCAACCTGAAAGAAAATTGCAGCATGAATAATTTTTTTCTAATTTTCAAATAAGCCCAAGCACTGATGATAAATACGTTATTTACTGAGACGATGAAAGCACACAATTATAAGGAAGAGTGCAACGAATTTACAAGGTGGCTGCACTCAAAAAATCTCTCTCCCCACTTTTCATATCTTGCAAAGCAAGGTATTGCAGTATTTTCCACCACTTCAGTACCTACAAGATGTTCAATTCAAGAAGGGTGGTTGTGGTTGGTATGTTCCTTCATGCTTTATCAATATTTCTTTTGCTTTATTCAACTACTTTTATACCTCATACTTAAAACTGCAACTAAAGAACCCTTTCTATGGTTAAAATATGAATAACATTTTGGCAGTGATTTACAAGAACTACGTACATTTATTTTCAAAATCCTTTATTAATATCTAGTACATATCAATAAAAAGCAATAAAGCATTTCGGTATTTACTCTCTCTTACGTGTAATTCATTTATTTTGCATTCACTTCAATTCTTTGATAACTTATTCATTTTATGATTATTTTTGTAAAACTTCTTATAACAGAAGAAGGGGAAAAAAACAACGCATGTGAATAATATAAAATGCAAAACAACAAAAAAACGTTGATGAATACACACAAAAACTTCGAAATAGTAAATGCCACTACAAAGAGCTCAGAAAATGAACGTTTAGCGAAATAACTCATAAATTTGCCATTTCTTACTCATATTTTAATCCACAGAAAAAACTATATAGTCTCAATAAACTTTTTCCTAAATGATGTGTTGCAGCTTTCGGCTCCTTACTTTCCTAAACAGTGATCTTAAATCAAACTATTCTGTGCTAATTTGCCCAAAAATATATGTTTAGGAGAATTTTTACAATTAAAGAACTCTCTTCAGATGACAAACACGGGTCGCAAGGAAATAGGAATGCTTATACAATTGTTTTCAATGAACAACCAGGTGTTAATTTATCAAAGTATGCTCGATCTTTTACTAGTTCTATATGTTAATAAAGAGAGATAAATTGTCGTATTTGAAATTTTTAAATAAGTCGTGGACAGTTTCAGCTGCACATACTGAAGTCGAAAAATTAACTGGTGAGATGAACACAAAAACAAAAAGATAATAACTAGGAAAGATATTTTTAAAGATTTTCATGACTTGCACAATATTCAGTAATTTATGGTTTTTAAAAAAAAAGAAATACTTCTATTTATTTCGCTTTGGAAAAGTTCTCATGCGAACCAGGGCTTTCGAAGATTTCTTTCTACTTATTTTTATTTTAATATGGAATAAAATTTCAATAATGATGCATCGTGATAAAACCTTTTTGAATAGAAAACAGAATTTAGCTAACACAATTCAAAGAAGCTTAATGTTTTACTAATTTTTTCTATTTTATTATCTATGCCTTTAAAAAAGGATTAAAATCGTTATTATTATGGCAAGACAGCATAAATAAAAATAGTAGTTTTATCCACATCCATTTTTAGATTTGCTCTCACCATCTCTGTAATACTCTATCTGTGTGCAATGTCATCATTACTTTTTATTTATGAGTTAATCAAGCCGACACTTACCCCACTCTGATGAGACCAGATGGAAGTTAATAATCCTGAGAGAAAAGAATCTGATCTTTGTTCATTTCTAAGTCTCGAATAACGCATATTTCCATCGCGTGGTGGAGCAGGATTTGTTATAGCCCATCTCTGGTTTCCAATTACTTCCCACAAGTACGCATGTCGCTGAATATTTAGAGGTATTCCAACATAATATATTTTTCTCCTAAAAGATATGCTCACCGATACATCGCAATTGTTTTGAATGTAACAAGCGGATTTATCCTGCTCAATACTTTAAATATAAACATTAATGGACATATTTGTTTTAGTTACTGTATCATCATAGCCACTGAGGTCAAATTTATGAAATAAAAAAAAAATAAATAACACACGTTATCTTTTGCGAGAATAAAAACGAATTCCTTTATCCATATTTCAACTCATCATATAGTTTTTTCTAATGTTTATTTTCTACAGCCAAAAGCAAACGTGAAGACTTAGCTTTTTTTTATATTGTCATCCTACACAATTGATAAACCAAATTTCAAAAATGTAGTTTAACAGATTCTTACTTACAAAAAAAATCTACCCCATCAAGACTGACATTTATAGAGTTTAAGTTACTTTTTTAGAATGATGAAAGAAGTGATGCCTCAGGTTTTTCATCTTTTTTTATGAAATAAAATCTTTTAATTTTCTACTTAATTTATTGCTTTCTAAATTTTTTATAAAGATATTAGTGATAGTCTAATAGAACCATTAAAAATTATCGATTTTACTTAAGTTTTAAACAAATTTTTTTTAACTTCATGAATAGTAAAAATGAAACATCAATAATCTTTTTCGCTTTCAAAAATTAAAAATAGTTTTGCTACACTTATATAAATCTGCCAAATTCAATTTGCAGTCCCACAGCAATATTATCTAATGGTTAATTATGTATATTTAACTATCCTTTCTACAAGGATTCATTATGATCGGAATACATTTCTTGATTATAATAGAGCTGACAATGAAATATCTTATTCTTTAACTCTTGAGTAAGAAATAGGACAATCTTACTATCGCTATCATCATAAAGAGTATACAATTATTGTAAAACTTTTTTAAATGCTTTCAAAATCTAAAATGCATACAAATGTTGCCATTCCTTGAACTCATTCGTAAAACGGTTGAATGATGACAGAAAGGATCTAGTGGCTGTTTCTAGCCACGGTATTATCGACGTATTTTCTAACCAAATCGATGATGACAGTTTTGTGTATAGAACTGTGAGTGTTTTTATTCCTTCACTTTCCCTAAAATTTTGAAATTACGATCCTAAAGTGGTGCTTCTGCAACTCTTTTTTTTATCACACTTGAATAATTACTTATTTGTCTGAGAATATTAAATGAAACATTTTTAAATTTCATTAAACATGAAAAATTACACAAATGCCAACACATGTCAAAAATTAAAGTTAAAAAATTCTTTGCATAAAAATCAATAACTAACCTGTGATAGCCTAACATATTCATGTGTGAATTGTTTTCCAAGTCAGAATCGGGTTGAACATTTAGTGCATCCAAAATTTTCATAACAACAGTAGGAAAATGTACGATAGCAGAAGAAATCTAAAATCCAAAATCCAGAAGTTTAGTAATCAAGAAACTGTTCTGATTGCATCATTTCTTCAGAAAACATACGTATTACATTAAATTAGCCTTTTAACTTTCGATATTTGAAACCACACTGCAATTCTGTGTACCTCACCATAGTATCTGCAATTTCCTTTTCTTTGACATCTTCAGTTTCGCAGAAAAGCAGAAAATGAGCAAGCGGTACAGAATAGGCAAAATTTGGAAGTTTATCCAAGTTTCTTGGAACCTGCAATCTTCATTCAATTTCCACACTGCTATGCAATATTATTCCCAGGTAATAGCAAAAACTTTTTTTTGCTAGCATTTTTATTTTCGAAGTTTTCAATCTATAGCTGCACTAAAACTAATTAAGGAAGACAACTTACGACCCCATTGTTAGAATAAATCAAGAACCTGCGTTGAAATATACTGCACGAAAGAAGCAATAAATGATAGCAAATAGGACAAAGGATCTTACGAAGAAATTTGTTTTCAAAATAGTCTTTAAAATGTCACAAGTTTAATAGCGATGATTAATTAATTACAAATTGTTACCACTAATGTATTGTAAAGCTGAATTAAATATTCATATTCCTTCGCTTTTATGGCGATCATGTCAATGATAAGCAATATGGCGAGAGGATCTGAAACTGGATCCAAACGATAAATTAATTTTGCAACTTCAAGAGCCGTTTTGAAACAGCGGCGATCAAGAAGATTTCGCATGTGCTGATGAAGTAACAAATAAAATGCTCGATTTTCAGCATCGGAATAATTGATACGATGATCAAAATTGCATAACTGGAATCGTGGGGCAAACGCAGTTTCGCAACAAAATAAACCACGTTCTATAATTTAAAAAAAAATTTATATGTGACATATGGGTGGAAAGTAGAGAAACTGTAATAATTACTGCATAAAAAATTATAATAAAATGTTTCCGTCTTGTACTCCTTTTAAAATTCTATAGTATAATGATCTTATAATGAATGTTCAATTTTCTATGTTTCCCTTCTATGTTCAAATCTCGTTTGCTATCATAATTTTTCTTGAGCAATAAATCTCCTAACAATCACTTCATTCATAATCTTCTTTAAAATTCAAACAAGAGTGACACTGTACTACTGGTTAAGGCTAGTATCTTAATTATGCCATCATTAATGAAGCAAACTTTAAATAAGTCTATTTCGAAAAGCTTATTACTCTTAAGTTTTGATGCAATCATTTTTTATTGCAAATCCATACTACATATAAATTTATGATAAATAGTTGCAACAGCTTTGAAAATGCCTTAATAAAAGTTATGGACAAAAGCAATTTATCGTACATAAATAGATTTAACGTAATAATGGAAAAGATGCTAAAAGAATTTTTACCAATCAAATCACGCGACAACTGATAATCTTCTTGTTGTCGAAAATGTTCGGACATGACAATCAAAGTGTCTAAGTGATATGGATATTGCGCCAAAATGTCCTGGAAAAGCCTTTTTTTAAAACTCCAAAACTTGATCAAAAAAGTATTGTACCCAAAATGTGGAGAATTTGGTTGCGAATAGTGCAATAACATTATTATTAAAGTAAATATGTGATAATTATTCACACCAAATTGCATCAACTATCATTACTTAGTAATGATATTACTAAGTAATGATAGTAGTAATGATATTACTAAGTTGACCGTGCTCATAATAATAATATTACTAAGTAATGGTAGTTGATGCAATTTTGTTTGAAATACAGATCGTTAAAATGAGCACAGTCAAGAGTTTTTGTTCCATATGCTTCTAAGGATAGCTTTTAGAGTATCTGCGAAAACAAACCGATAAAGACTGGTGGTCTGAGGAGTCAGAAGCCATCCAAAAATTTTGCTGCACCTCACGATAATTTGCATGATGCGAAAATCTGAACCAAAGTATATTTCCTTCTGTGCGCTCCAATTCCATTGACAGGCCTTAATTATAAGTTACTAAATTACTATCAACAAAACTAAAATCAAAACATGAGTTAAAAATAGTTCTGTTTTGAACAAATGCTCGAATTTCAAAACAAATTATTCATATTATTAGACATCTGAAAATAGAATTCAATGCATCTTATTCTACTGGTTAAGAGTTATATTTTTAATAAATGAAGAGAGGGAAATATTACGCGATAAAGAAAGAATGTTACTCGCTAACTCTCTAAAAGTGGAAATTGATACGACTTGAAAGACTTCTATACTATACAAAAAAATTCGTACCAACATTCTTTATCTCTGGCCATGTTTCCTTCCGTTTTACTATTTTACCAAAAACTACTCGACGCCTTTGAGTCACATGCGTGTTTTTCCGACCCAAAATAGAGCGTAATTCATTCTCTACATCTAGTTTTCTGCCATTTATCTGAGATACATGTCAAAATTACTGACTCTACTTTCAACACAATGTTTGTGTAAATTATAATTTCACATAGAAAATTCTTACACTTGAAATCTTATAGTGAAATTCAAGTTTTCTACTTGCACTGCTGCATATTCAAATCTGATTGCTATCATGAATAATTTTTTTTACAGCGTAAAATCCTTTTTCAGTAACTTCATTTACAATTCTTTAAACTCGAAACAAGAGTAACATTGCACTACTGATTAAGATTCGTATCTTAATTATTTCTTCATTAATGAAACAAACCTTAAATAAGTCCCTTTCGAAAAGCTTATTACTACTAAGCTTTGACACAGTATTTTGTAATGGGAAATTATTCAGTATTTTCATGCGATTTACTGCAGTTGTACTTGAGCTTTTTTTCTTTCCTTTCTTCCTTTTCTTTACAGCTTTATTTTCTGATCCCTCATCCATTCTTGCCTCCTTTACTTTCCCGCTAGTTTCATCTTGCCCTTCTCTCAATTCCTCCAAGAATTCATATCTACAAAACAAATTATTCAATGGTAGTTCATAGCCTATCGATTATATTTTCGAAAAATTGAACTTAAAAACTTACAAAGATTATTAGTTTCTTTATTAAAACTGATTTTTGATGTTATTATTTGACTTGAAATAAGCGAATCATATTTTACACAACTGAGTGCAGACAGAGTAACATAGTTGCAATTCATCACAAAAACCAGTGATTTCAATGGAGCACTGAGGATTGAATAATCAAATTTAGTTTATGAATGGTGGATCACCACTTAACTAAAAACTAAATTTCATACGTGGCAACCTTAATAAACTGACAAATGGTAACAGCACTTTTGAAATTACTGTCTTTTGAACTGCAAAAGAGCAATTAATTTGTTAGTTCGTAAGACGACTATGAATAATATAACAGTTGTAAATAAAACAAACCTATTGCAGATGAAAGCTTTTGATACATCTTCATCATCAGAGCTTTGCTCGCATTCTCTGCTAATGGCTTCTTTTTTGATAGTCTTCCCTTCATCGGCTGTCTTTTCTAGCAAAAACCGTCGTAAATGTTTCGTTGACATATTATTTACAATTAGTAAGGATCTAAATATCGATTTATAACACTATAATGTAAATATTAATTGTAGCACAGCATTCACTTAAGTGTGTTATCAACAAGATAATTTCTGATACAAAAATAATATCAACTGTAAGATTACAAAGTTTTTTGTTCTATACCGCAAAGCAAAAAACTGTCACCCTCCTCCTTGTTATAAAGCGTCTGCAAGACAGACAGGACACAAGAAAACCAACCAATTGAATGCGAAGTTTAGTTAGGGAAATGCAATATGAATGTGCGAAGTTTAGTTGTTGCTAAAATGCTGACTATTGCAGCTTAATTTTGGGTTTGGAAGGCTGGTAATAATTTGCATGTGGCTTTATGTTACTTTGTACATTAATATAGTTGGTTAGTGTATTCTATAGTATTTGTGGTTCATTTAGCAACGAGTTCGTAAACTTCCAGTTGTACATTAGGTCAGTAGTTAGTTGTGTAAGGTAAAAACAATATTTTATGCTGGTTTATTGTAAACCACCTCCAGTACTTCACTTCACCTGGCCAGCTGCTTTACGGGACCTCGATTCCTCCAATGATAACTTCATTCGCAACCATCCAACTGGTTCCTGGTTCCTGGTTCCTGATTCCGGTAAACTGGCAGAGTGCTCTCCCAACCCTTCACGGAGCTTTTCACAACTTTATCTGTCTTCCCATTATTTTCTACTATGATTCCGGACGTGGTTTTTCTCCATTGATGCTCCACTTTCTTCTCGGACTTGTGATATCCTGAGAGCATTATTTTCGGTTCCGAACTTTTTTTTGCAATAAACTTTTCTTTTGCTTTACTAATGTCATGCGTGTCATCATTCCTTACTTTTTTCCCTTGTTTCGTCTTCGTTGCTTTAGAGGAACTGCAACAAGGGATTGCATGAGCATCATCTTTGTGGTCTGTTACTTCTTTTCATTACTTGGAAGTCGCCTGTGATGGGGAAAGTTCTTTAGAAACTCGTTCCCAGCCATTAGATTACTGATCTATTTGAATGCTGAAATGTTCTCTCATATTACTACAAGTTCCACCGTTTTGGCGTCGTTGACTGTCGTTACCATAACGTTTGTTGTCGCAACTGATCGCACTATGGTTTATCTGCCATTCACTTCCATCATCGTATCATGAAATCGCCATAACTTATAGTTTAGATAATACTACAAAGAATGCTGAATGCTAAAATAGCTTTATTGATTAAGTAGTGTTTTCAGACATAAAATGGCACCTAAAGGGAATAATATGATACCAAATGCTCATTTCCACAAGGATTGGCAAAGACGAGTGCGTACATGGTTTAATCAACCTGCTCGCAAAGAGCGCAGACGTCATAATCGGTATAAGAAAGGTAAATTGGTAGCACCTCGTCCAGTTGCTGGCTTATTGAGACCTGCGGTACGCTGTCCTTCGGTTCGGTATAACAGAAAAGTGCGATTAGGACGGGGGTTTACTTTAGAAGAGTTAAAAACAGCGGGCATAAGCAAAAAACATGCTCGTACAATTGGTATTGCTGTAGATTATCGACGTACGAATCGGTCGTTGGAATCTTTGCAGGTAGCACTTTTGTTTCTATCAGATATTCTTGCACTCTGCTGCTTTCAGTTTCTGGTAGTTAGTTAGTTTATTTTTTCAATTTGGACTTAGAAGCAAGGCGTTTAAGTATTGAGACTGTATTTTTAAAGTTCTGCAGTTATGTTTTTGCGCAAATTTCTTAAAGTTTTAGTTAAATGTGAAGCGTCTAAAGGAGTACAAGTCGAAACTAATATTATTCCCGAAAAAACTGAGTGCGCCGAGGAAGGGAGACAGCACTGTAAGTATTTCACTATTCATTTATTTCCATACATATTTTTTACGGTTCGTAATACAGTTCTGATGAAGGAGCTGAATTTCCAGGCTGATGAACTCAAGTTAGCTACACAATTGCGTGGACCGATTTTACCGATCAAACGAGTCTCTTGTCATGAAAAGGCTCGTGCAATCACTGAACAAGAGAGAAACTTCGGGGTATATTGTCATTTACGTCGTCTTCGTGCAGACAAACGTTTGAAAGGTTCTCGTGATAAAAAAGCTCGTGACGCAGCTGAGGAAGGTGTTGGTGGTGGGAGACGATAAGTAATTTGTCCTTAATCTGGATGCACAAATTTTTGTGTACTTTGTTTTTGATTGGTGATAAATACTGTTATAGTTGGCGCCCATACACTTTAAGCTCCTATATTCAAATTTCTTAAAAATTACTGGAAAAGCTGATAAGTATAGTGTTTCAAGTCTGGTCTTTATAATTTCTGGTACAGATTACTATAGGAATTGAAATTATTAGATAGCTCCAAGTACGGTAACAGTATTATTTTTTATTTAGTACTTTAAGTAATTTTGATATCTATGATGTTTGCACCGTACCCATCACAGAACAACTGATGAAGAAGAGATTTTTGCTCAAAACTTTTAATACACATGTTGTTAATAAGTTTGTAATTCGAGTTAAAGTTATGTGTAAGTCATGGCTTTATTGAAAATACATACAGTACAAGCTAAAATGTAGATTTAGGAAAGAAAGAGTGAGATTCTGTCTCATTGAAGCAGATGTACATGCATCAGGGTCGGGAATAAAACAATATCAAAAACAATTATAACTTTTCTGGAATACATTTATTGGTAGTTACGGGTTTCTGGTGAAGATCCTATAATGATTTTTACATGGAAGTTTTTGATAATAGTGATCGCACTTATTATACAATGAAAGGAGAAGCTGGAATTATACATTGAAGAGTTGACAGATACTGCAAGAAGAGTTCTATTTGGGTTGCCATTCTAATATGTATTTTTGACAGCCTCGAAAGTTGATAAGACATCTTGTGATTGATAATGTAGAGCAGTTTTTGATTTCTTTGTTAAGATCACTCTAGAATTCTCCGTAACATCCAAGCTAGTTCGATGGAGTAGCGTTCGTGAATGTGAATGGTTGTGTTTGTAAGCGTCTATATGAACATTATTTGCTTGTTGAAGGCGTTTTCGAGTTTTCTCTTAACTTACTGGAAATGAGATGGAGCAGTGTCAGAAACATGTAATCTTTTATGGTGTCTTTTTCAACTCTTATTTATGATATCTAGCAGTTATATGGAAAATCTGGTATTGACGTAATTCTAGCTTGCCTTAACAAGTAAACTCTAAGACGTCGGCGTTAAATGATTATAGTCATGAGATCAGTTGTTACTTTTATGCATTTTATCATAAGTATCCTTGTTTTTATAAGCTGCTACATAACCGGTTTGTTCGACGACATCTTCCCTCCCCATTTTTCCACGTCCTTTTCCATCAGCATCAAAGCGTTCCTTATGGGAACCTGTATATTTTGTATGATCTGTTAGCCGATTGTATACACCGTCAGCCGAAGCTTTAGCAACTCCTTTCAATGCTGGTGCCTCTAGCTTTGAAAGCTTCTCAGTGATTACATCCAGTTCCTCCTAAAATAGTTGCAGACGTTCAAATCACCAATCAGTAGCAGTTTTGAAAACTGCATTCTGATTAAATGTATGAAACAATCTTTGAATTCATGATTTTTATTTTAGTGAATCTGTAAGATTGAATTTATACTTTAATCATTGCTAAATTTATACGATGAAGTCTTAAAAGAAGTATTGTTGTACGGAGATTTTAAACTAACTTGTGCATCTTTTTTAGTAGTCCGTGCTCGGTCTTCAGCAACTGCTATCAAGATGTCTTTTGTCTCAGCGAAATTTGCTTTTTTTTTAGAGCTAAAGTTGCAGAAATATTAATACAAAATAGTAACTTTGAATCATCACGAAATAAAACACTTCATATCAAGTGATCCCCCATGCCCTGATAAATTGAGCAGAAACTTTGGTATTATCACAAATGGCACAATAAAAAGCTCTTCTAGCTAGAGATGATATATTTATCGTAAATATTATTTTGCTGTTTTTACAGTGAATACTGGATACTACTAATTGTCATCGAGAATGCTACTTGCCCAAATTAGGGCATGAACATGAGGTTTGGAATTGTTGTTAGGATTCAAGCTGGAACCTGTGCTTAATTCCATTTAAAGTTCTTACGGTTTGTGAAGACCGCTGTAAATTTTTAATTAAAATTCATAATTTTGAGCATTAATTTTAGTACTTATTTGAGTTTAAGTATACCAAATTAAAAATTTTTTATGGATTTATATTTGTTCATGTAAATAATTACACATTAGTCTCAAAAACTAACACTAAAACTGGTTATTTTTAATATAAATAAATAAATATAGGCAGATAATTTCAATTGAAATGTAATAAATTTTCTGGTAATGTTCTCAGATTGTTTCTCACATAATAAACGATGAATTATTGACCCAGTTATTTTAGAGAAAGCTATCCCGGTCATTGTAGTGGTAATATTCTTGTTATCAATGATTCCGCCATCTTTTAACCACTTGTCGAAGTTTTTTCCTGTCATTTCACTTGCTGATGCATTGCCAAATTTCACGAAACCTTCCCATCTATAATTTAAAATGATGACAATTGCTTTAACAATACTAATGAAGCAAAAATTGATCATAATTGAAGTATAATTACAGTAATACAGAAAATAGTTAGTTATATCAGTGAGATGTAATAATAGCTAATTGCAAGAAAAATATTAAAATAACATTGGCATTTATGGAGATAGAAAGTATACTATCCTTAACCAAACAATAATAATTCTTGCACTCCACAAATTTGTATTTTGTTATTAAAATTACTTTATTGTATATTTATTTGCGTGTATGTTTACTTCTAGCTAAGATATTAGTTTTATGTCAGTCAGTTTACTTCTAGCTAAGACATTAATTTATCTCTATAAATTTGGTCTATTCTCCATAATATTAATATTTCAGAAAAAAAGCAAAATAAACTCACCGATGTCTAATTTCTTTTCCATCCCATTTGAATTTGTATTCTTTTTTTTCAGCCATTTTCCTATGGTCAAAAACCTAAAAATTATATCTCACATTTATGCAAAGAATAAAAAAACATAAGGGATTATTTGTTGAATTGAACTTTAAGTCATACATACGTACACAGATATTCTTCATTAAGATGTTTTAGACAGTAGATTAAAGCTAAACAACTACTAATTCAAATTTCATACTAGCTTAGAATGGAAAAGAAAATTAAAATGAATAGTAGAGAAAGAAAAGTTTAGAGTTTAGTTTCAAAAAATAATTAATACTACTTTGTAGCGTTTTGTTTTATTCAAAGTATAACAGTTAACTGTTAGTAACTTAAAACTTTGACTGTTAGCACTATTGAATTTATATAATAAGTAATCGAGACTTTGCAGTAATTCACTCATGTCATACTTTGTGATTAAAGCAAATATCAATTGAGTTCATACTTTAATTTTTATACAGTAAATAGCTGTGCACTACAAAAAGTTCTATTTTTATTATACAAAATGAATAACTCTGTACATTTAACAGTAAACTACCAAAATTGTCTGCATACTATCATTTATATAAATTATAGCGTTGTGTACATAAAATTTGTTTTTTATTAGAGCTGAAAAAACAGAGTATACTCCTACACCACAAGAATTGTGTTATTTAAGACATCAATTCGAAATGAAATTGAAATTGCTTAAAAAATACACAGAAATAAAATGCAAAAAGAATTAGTTTCTAAGTAATTATTATTCTATAATCGAATGTAAGAGAAAATTTTTTATTATAATAAAAATTCTTTCTGATAAGTGCAGTAAAGAAATTGCAATATTCAGTACGATGAATGTATATGAGAGACTTAGAGGTCAAACCGAATTAGAGATTTGGGGTCAAACTGATTTACATTTCAATAATATATTTTAATAAACCTTTACAAAATATTTTGACTTAAAAAAGTCTAATTAATCTCATTTTTGAAT